AACAAAGTATGTTTGAAAATTGTGTTTATATGGGTGAAAGTGCACAACACCGTCAACAAAAAAAAATTATCAAAAATCAACGGCAATTTTAAGAATTTTCAAACTTGCACATTGTCACACTAAAATTGCATGGGCTACCACCCCCTGGCTGCATACCCAATAAATTTCTAAAAATTCTGAACAAAAAGTTGCAAATTTTGATGACATTTTTTTGAAACTTGTTAAATTTTCCTGAATTGTACACAAAGTTCTAAACTCGGGACTAGTATGGTTTATGTTATAATATCTACAATGTTTATATAAAGATTTAACGAAAAAATGCATCCCCTAAAACATTGTGAATACCGGTTAAAAAATAAATGTGTGCTATTTACGTTAGCGCCACTGTACAAATGCACATACATACATAAGCTTCAGATAAAGAATAAATTGCCAAATTATTAAACAAAAAACGCCGCTGGATTAATTTTATCGTAAACAGACATATAAAATCATAGGTACATATATACATATCATACATATGGATGTGTGATTATCAAATTCGTGTGCTCTGCGTTAATATCTCTAAATTGTTAAGCAACTGTCGACATAACGAAGCACCTACGGCCACTTCAGACTATCTAAACGCTCCAAGCACTCGAGCTACCAGTAAGAGTACAATAAGCCGCGCCTCCATCACTACCACCACGATCCAAGCTGACTTACCCTCGACCAGCATTATTGCCTGCACCCGTATCGCTGTCCATGCCTTCGTCATCATCTGACTGCAAGCTGCTGCGGTCAAACAACCCTCGTTTAGAGCGAGTCTGTTGCTCAGCCGGTTGGTGAGCAGACAAACAGCCAGACAGACGGTCAGTCAGACAGTCAGCTGGCTATAGTCTTGGCACTGTTTGTGGCTGTCTCCAAGGCTGTCTCATCTATGCTGCTGCTGGTATGTCTGTTTGTCTGTTTGTCTGTCTGCGTCTATGCTAGCTGTGTGTTTGTGCAATTGTGGCTGCTCGTTCGTTTTGTTAGCCACGGCCTGGTATGGCCCGACCTGGCATACGTCGCGTATGCGTAACATTTTTAACATTGGGGTAGGCTCTGTATAGACTTGTGTGCACTGTATTGATTTTCCTGCCTTCCGTTGTAACTAATTGCACCTTTGCACAACGGGGTTTTTGCGCTTCTTTATACATACATATGTACATGCATATAAATATCTAGCTACAAGTTATTGCTTGGTATTTACATATGTACGTACATTTATTTACTTACCGGCATTTTGTTGCGCAAATTGAAATCGAAGTTGACGCCAAAGTTGAAATAGCTCGGCAGAGGCCGCAGATGCGAACAGGCGAAAGTGAAATGCATAACATAAAAAAATTGTAGCTGGATATACATACATAGAGAGTGTGCATATGGAATATAATTTGTATGAGAATAAGAATAGTTGGGGCGCTGCTTTCCCTTTTGCCTATTAAATTCTTGGGCGCTTCTGCCGCTGTAGTTGTTGTTTTATTAGACTAAACTTTGTTTTTTTTTGGTTTTTTAAATTACTGCTGTCATCTTTGCTAATACACCGCAACTAAAAATAAGCCAATTAATTTTAAATTTAAAATTGAAAATAAAATGCACGTTTGTATTAATTAAAATTGCCACCTTTGCACGTACGTACACGCTCCACGCCCACATAACATCGTTTTAACAACGCTATTATCATCGGCCCGACACTGCAATACTTCTACTACCTCCACCTCCACCTCCTCCATCAACACCGCCGCCACGAACACTGCTATTTGCCAACCAACCACCACCACCTGGCATGAATGACACAATTTTTTTTGGCCGTTATACCTCCGCCATAGATGTTTTGGTTCAGAGAATCACTTGCCACCTGATGATCCGGCTTGGTGTCACGACACCGACCCGACCTATTCGGTGCAGTGTTGCTATAAGGACCTTTGCAATACGCGCGCAAATTTTAGTGCAATCATTCCGAGAGCAGGTGAGAGGACCAAAACAAATACACATATCTAAAAATATACATAACTGTCAGCGTTAAAAACATCAAAATTCAGCATAATCGGAAAAATCGCAATGCCAAAAACATGTTCATGCTACGCAGTCATTTATTATCGACAGATACACAAGAGAGAAAAGCCAACAACATATGCATTTATGTACATATGTATGTATGTCTCTGCGTATTGCGTAATAAGTTGATGTGTCACATTCATGTCATCACATCGCCACATACAACATATTATTTACTTAGTACATAAATGGTATATCTACATAGTACACTAAGATATATGCTAATTTGTTTGTCTCCCTTGTCCGTCCTTTACATCTTACATATATACAACATCTGTCACGAACATCGAAGTTGAAGTAGAATCCATTGCTTTCCCTATATGAATATCCAACAGTAAGCCACCTACATACATACATATACATACACATACACATCAAAATTTTCAATAGACAAACAGAAATACAAATTCTTCATTACACTCAAAAAAAGCCAAACCAAATGGAGACCAAATCTCTAGCAATTTGGGATAAACGTTCACAGTCCAGCCAACTTCGTTTCACACTTGCAAACTGTCTTTTTTGTTTAGGGTCACTCATTCTTTTTTTGCTGTACGCAATGCAGTCGTTCCTGTGCCATATCTGGATTTCACTTCACCGGCTGTAATAACACATTTTTATCAATACTATTGTAATTTAACGTGCGTATATGTTAGTGATATAAGAATTCTATTTAGTTTAAATTTACAGCAAATGAACCACATTTTAACTCCTCTATACGGAGAAGTAAAGTCGTTTTCGAAGTCTCACATATGAGCCATTTATTTTGAAAGTGGCATAAGTCAATTCACACCTTTTGTACTTATATGGCTGGTTACTTGTATCTGGTCGCGTCGGTTATTTGTTCATCTTTCTCAACCAAAGGTAAAAGGTTTCGTCATTAGTATATGACGGCTTGCCTTCAATGCTTTTTTGTGTTTTTGCTCTTAACCAAATAGGTGTTTCATATAAAGAAATGGCTTCATGTGCTGCTGCGAGATTCCCGGTTTTGTTAATTTGAAATCATTTTCATCAGATCAAATATATTTATTTTTCGGTGAAATTTGTTGAGTATATCCTTATGAAGTGGAGTATAAAGCTTTATTTGAGTTATACTTAAAGCTTAGTGAATTCAAAAGCTTGAATGTAAGCTTACACCTTGATATTTCGCTGTAAAACTTTTATTTGAGTAAGCTTTCACCTTCATGTTAAGCTCTCATTGGAGTTGTACAAAAGGTAGAATGAATTCGAAAGCGCAAGCTTCCATCTTCGTCGTACGTAACTCGAAAGCTTTCATGTAAGCTGCTACCTAGCTCTTTCACTACTTTTTAAATATAAGCGCCCAAGTTTATAATATTTTATTCATTATGTACATATGTAGGTATTTTAATGCTTTTTACCTCCAATATTTTTTGTAAATATTCCAAAATTTTTTATACAGGCTAAAAATTTTAAAGTCAGTTTTCTTGCGGTTTCAACAAATGAGCGTTATGTATCAAAACTATGTATATACATACGCACTCTACTGATTATTATTTTTTTTTTTTAACATTTAAAGAATGCTTTCTCCTTTTTAGGTGAGCTTTCACGCAAGGTCTTAATAAAATTTCACATAAATTTACGTATAGGCTGAAGCTTTCATTAAATATTGGCATATTTGTGTTGCTTATGTTTTTGTTGCAAATGGTTAGGATGAGTTTGCTATTTCTTTTGTATTCGAACTACTTCCGTCATATACATATGTACATACATGCGGTATCGTAGCCACGAATAAAGCTGCCATGCTAGTAAGCAAATAATTTCTTTCACTTTCTCCACGCAATATGGTTGCTCCGGCTTCCTTTCTCTCTCTCACCTTAGGCTGCAACTTAGGCGAATTCGTCATACGACTCGGAATCAATAGTCTACGTCGCTTTCAACTGCCAGCTCACAAACTGACTCACTACTTTACTACCTCCTATTTTTTTGTTATTCGTACAAATTCAGCTAAGTTCATTTCATTACATTTCATTTTTATGTTTTTCGTTGTAATCGCGCTTTTTTTGTTGTTGTCCTAGATATAATTTTGTATTATTTGTTGTCACGCGTCTTTCATGTCCTTTGTGTTTCTTTTATGTCATTTTTTTTTTTTGTTGTGTATTTCTCGTCACTGGTGGCGTTTTCAAGCCATATTCGTCATGTTTGTATTCTACATAAATTATACTCGGTCGGATGGGAAACCAAAAATGAATATAAAGCAAATTCAAAAATATACCCCCCCAAGCAGGGAGCTCTACCTGCAGTGAAGAGGTGTACAAGAAGGGTTCCATAAATAGCTTCATTTACAGCGCATTCATATATTATATACAAATATATTCATATATTCACAAAAATTTATAACTTTCGAATTACTTTTATTCACTTGAACTTCTCGAGTGGATATTACGTACGCATACTTAACGTTTGGTGGTTATTTTGCCCTCCAATTTACCCATTCGGTTAATTTTTCGTACTTTTTTAATTTGTATGCTACTCCTTTCTCCTTGTTTGATTAGTTTTATTTATGAATCATTTGGGTCTACCATTATTTAGTGCACATTATTAGTTCTTTTTTTTTCAATTTACATAATTTGTTAAATCACCTTTGTTACTAAATCACAAGAGAAAATGGAGCTTTATGAAAGATCGGAAATGCCCACAAAATTTCAATAAAATCTTGATGCTGGATATGAATAAAGGTTATAATAAAAACAAGTAAGAGCAGCGCTGTCTTCGGCTATGCCGAAGG